TAGTTACAAAGTGTGGCAAAGTACTTCAAAGTAGTGACAAAGTACTGCAAACTATGGCAAAGTAGTGGCAAAGTACGGCAAAGAAGTGGCAAAGTACTGAAAAGTAGTGGCAAAGTACTGAAAAGTAGTGGCAAAGTACTGAAAAGTAGTGGCAAAGTACGGCAAAGTAGTGGCAAAGTACTGCAAAGTAGTGGCAAAGTACGGCAAAGTAGTAACAAAGTACTGAAAAGTAGTGGCAAAGTACGGCAAAGTAGTGGCAAAGTACGGCAAAGTAGTGGCAAAGTAGTGGCAAAGTACTGAAAAGTACGGCAAAGTAGAGGCAAAGTACTGAAAAGTTGCTCAAAATGTTTTCGGTGACTTTTATCAGTGACAAGTTGCCTATGTATGCATTTCGAGAAACCACATTGTGTGCATGCGCAGTCTGAAATGGAACAGTTTTGAACGCAATAAAATCACGCGTAGAATTCGGGCTCAAGCTAGAAATTGTGGCGTCAAACTGGTTGTCGGTTGAATTGTTTTGCAATAGACATAATTTTGGAGCCTGTCTATTTTGTCTATGAAATGTTTCTAAGTTTTGTTGAGGATTATTCTGTCAAGAAATTACTGAAATTATTCCATCTTTTCGTAAACGGGACGTTGTTGCTTAGACGATGGGCTACGGCGACTGACGTCGATACATTCCATTCAGATCGGATGGCGCCCTCTCGTGCCGCCACCCCCCCCCCCCCGCCGGTGAATCCTTTATAAAGGACGAATTGCAAAAGAGGGCGTACTTTAATATGCACTCACTGAGCAGATTCTGTCATGGCTCAGATGACGCACTCATACATAGGCTGCTCTCTGCTACTGTAAAACCATTTATTTTCACTGACATTTAATATTTTGATTTCCGAGTCTTTTCACGTGGCTTTACGAATTTTGCTGAGAAACAATGAGTTCTGTTGTTGTTGTTTTTTATGCTCACGTGAATTTAATCAAGCGAATTTTACTTATCAGCGAAATTAAAACACAGTGAATAATTAATACATTTACAGTATTATTATTAGTATAATCTTTTTTTCAAGTAAAAGCCGACTTCAAATTGTTTTTGCACTTATACCTGACAAAAGCTCTATATACATAATAATACACACTACTGAGCATGTTAGTGCGCACATGTGCAATGCATTCTGGGAGACAATCTCCCATGGAGACAGTGAAACACAACAAATTAAATAATTATATGACTTTTTAGAACAACTCACCTAATGAGAACAATGTGACCATAGATATTACGTCGAAGAATGCCATTGTGTTACTCTGAATCGACCTAATCAAAAATAAACATTGTTGTAAATTAACTACTACTAAATTAAACACATATCCTCGGGGCGGACATCCGGGCATTTTCACCGCCTGGCAACCATCGCGGTGAAAACAAAGGCCAACAATTCGCAGAAAACGGTACTTTGGGATGGTTGTTGAGACTCCCCTGAACAGTGTAACAAGATTAGCCCTACTTGTGTAACATATATGAATTCTGATGTTCAGGATAAATTCAAAGTTGAGTTTCTGTTGTTTTCTCGAATTTTCACCGGCTCGACAGGCGTTTCACGCAGCGCGCACAGAGCCCAAAGAAATGCATGGCACAGTCTTTGCGTTTTTAGCAGGTGCTGTTATTGTCGCTTGGGACTCAATTTCCGCACATGCGCAGGTGACGACCCTCCCGCTTTAATCATTTTATTGAAACCTTATTATATTAGGGAATAATTAAGACTGATTGGTCACGTATAGCACTCAAAGTTTGATGAAACTTAATCAGTATTGGCACCCATCTTTGGTGTTTTGGTTATATCTGATTTGTTGGATAGTTGAATATTCATGACGAAAGTATATTTACTCAAAATGTGACGAAACTTAGAAAAATCATAGGTGTATATATCCCATTTATTCGATAGATTCAGCCTCATGCATATTCATGTGGCATGCGATTAGTCAAGGTCAACAAAATTTGAACAAACTTGACGCCAGTAAGTTTCTTTTTTACCCCTGAAAAAATCATTGAATATATTCAATTTATTCTATAGTTTCGGTATCAAGAATATTCATGAGGTAAGTAGATTAGACAAAATTTGACGAAACTTGATCAAACTTTACGGCTGTAATTCTGTAATAATTCTATTAAAACTATTATTACATTTTGACCTAGAGAATTTTTATGAGGTATGTATAATATTCAAAAATTGACGAAATTTGATAAATAATACATGTCATATGAATATTCATGATGCCAAAAAACGAGGGTGTCGACCTCGCCCCCCCCCCCCCCCCAACAAAAAAAACATCGCCTTTTCTTGTTTGTATTTGGTCCTGACAACGTTTTGTGTCTTGACGTCTCTCTGTATTTGGGACAGCGCGCGACTTCGCTTAGATACGGACCACCTATGAGAGAACGTGGTTCGCCTTTTCTTGTTTGTAATCGGTTCTCACAAAGTTTTGTGTCTTGACGTCTCTCTGTATTTGGGACAGCGCGCGACTACGCTTAGATACGGAACACCTTTGAGGGAACGTGGTTCAGAAATACTCTAAGACAGTCTGACAATGAAGACCCAGTATGTCCTGGCAGACATGAGTTTAATACGTGGCAGTCTTATATTGGACCATGGATGTATCAGTACATCCATGATTGGACGGATGTGCTCTATGATCAGCTCTCCGTATAGAATACTTTTAGTTTAGTGAAGCGCCATTACGATAAGTAATGTAACAGCGAAATAATCGATAGTTCATAATGCCTGATAACATTCCCAAGACAAACAGGAATGAATAACTGATATTTTACAATTTGAACAATTACAGATGTTCGGAGATAACAAGACAGTGATGGTAACCACTCGGACAAACACAGAAGTGCCATGAATGACAGTTTGGTGCTAACTTCAAGTTTCAAAACACGATACTAGTATGCTGGAGAATAAGTTTTTATAATCCCCTTGCCCATCATGATAGATTTACCGTTATGCTAAAATTCTCGGGAAAACCTATTTTTGACATCTCACACATTTTCGTAATTTGATTCACGAAATCAAAATATACACAACACACCTTAGACAATTGTTTGAATGTTTGTGTGTTAATGAGCCACTTGTTTTGGAAGGTTGTCACGGCGACACAAACAATGAAGATGTGCTCAATGACTACAAACAATTCACAGGTTCAATGTAATAAAAATTACAATGCCAAAACGAAACGACCATCCTAAACTCAGACAAGTATAACCTATTACGAGTCTGAGTCCTAAGTTGGGTGTCTCCGAGGGAGTTCAACACGCGCCGTATTCGAAGACCGCGCTTCCTGACCACGAGTCTGCATTACAGTCAAAAACCTCTACTGTAAAATACTTTATTTTAGCTGGAATTAATTTTCGCTGAAAAAATTTTTTTGGGTATTTTGTATGGAATTTATTTTCATTGATTGTTGACGAGTTGAATGTAAAATATAGGAAAAAAGGTATATTCGCTGGATTTTATTTTAACTGAATCATGTTGCAAGCGAAAATAAAGTATTTGACAGTACTCAAATACAGCTTATTGGTATTTCACGTAACACCACAAGGCCCCAACACGTGTTGCTACACGTACAGATCATTATACTCAGGAGGTTCGGCGTCAAACTTCCTCCACAATGGTATGAGCGTAGTCTCTCCATAGAGAGAAGGGTGTGATCTCTCTGAACAAAATTCGAGGTGAATACATGTATAAGTAGTGCAATATCAATAACATGGTATTTGACTGATCGTTCATTTGTAAATTTCCATACAAGACCCAAGTCATAGTTAACACATGATCGTCACATGTTACGATGATATTACTTGTTTACACCACACCCGAACATTATCTTTCAGTCGGCAAATTACCAACCTTGACAACGGTCGTTGTTTTACTACTGCAATAGTATTACAGGCTTATACAGTTACTACACGATCTTACCTTATGTTGGAAATCTAGGGGAGATGTATCTTTCACAGGCGAATGTGTGAGGTATGAGCACCCAGCACGGACTGAGAACGGCCAAGGCATATCGTACTTGTATGAGCTTTTTTTTAGTTTTGATGGGGGCATGGATATGTAGATACTTTTGAGACCTTGCAATTTATTAGATATACTAACAGAACTAACTAAATCAATGATGTGCGGTTGAAATAAGCATAGCAAATTGTCTACCACCGAGAAGTCTGTTATTAATTTCAGTTATTAATTCATTTATGCTTTACACCCCTTGGTATGAATAGAATAGTCCACAACAAATTCCACCAATGGGTATAAGGCGTACCTCACGTGACTATGATAGGCTACGTGATTGGTTAGTAACCGTAATTATGGGAGCCTCAATATTTTAGACTGTTTCGACGATACACTGGTAACAGGACTATACATTTCGAAGTTAATTCGACCCGTCAACTTTAAAGGGCGGTGGTCGCTGCGCAGCCCTGTTAGAATTTCACGTAAGCATACAATACAACTTTATTGGAACAGTTACAGACATTATCTTCATTGCAACATTCGTTTTGGTTTGAGCATGAAGTTCAGCACGAAAAACCTGACTATGAATAAAAAAAAGAATGTATCAAGTCTCAGGGAGAAATCCATTGCCAAATCCACAAAAGTGCGAAAGTATACAATAATGATTTGTATGTTAATGAGAGTATATAAATGTCGAACGCCGGGTTACTGCGAAATATACATTCATGATGTTTATGGTTATTTTGTTTATTTCTCGGTAAGCAGGCTTTCGCGGCGGTAACGCGGCTTTCGCCGTTTACACGCTCCCATAATATTTTATTTAAATGAAAAAAAATCACCAAGAATTAAAAAAGAGACTGTATACAAGTCGAACTAATTAACAAGTACAAAATAATCGGGGGAAATAACCAGGCGACTTTTCTATGCTACTGTGTGTTGAGAGCGACTAAGGTTACTCGCTTATCGCTCAGGTTAGCAGTGGTTTCACCAGGGTACAAGGGATGCTATAATCTAGGTAAATATCAATGTGGTTGGGATAGTGGATCTACTGGCGATGTTTTCAATGTCATTGCATGCATTTCCGGAACAGTAGTAGAGACAGGTCTCAAATCCCGAATTATCGGTCGTGCAATCACCATCGGCGTCGGTAGTTTCTTCGTCAGTACAGTATCTTTCGGCATCATCGGTGAACAGCCCTATTACGAAAAAAGTTAAGACAAGAGTTGTTTTATGACGAAATTTGTTGAGGTTACTGATGTGGATTTTATCACAATGACACTATTTCCACTCCGTTTCTGTTGCGTGCTATATGAAAATGGTGTACCTGTATCGACTTTTATTTGCGACGTCATTTGGCGTCACACGTTTGTGTTACTCAAGTCTATGGGAGGAGCCATAGCTCCACTGTGTCAATTAAAATCATAAGGTCTGAAAATAGCAAATTTAATGATACCAAATGTATCAGAAATGATTGTAATACCATCACAAAGACTAAAAATCGACACAAGAAAAGCTATGGACCCACAGTACAGTAAATTGTTGACGTGAAATTCGAACACGAGCTGCGACATTGAATCCCTACATTGAACAAAGTGTTGGAGAGAGAGAGAACAACAAATCTAAATGCGACAGGTGGTTGGCGTGGGGAATTAGTAACAAAAAGTTGATGATACTCACATGTGTTGTAGGCTACAGTTCTAGTACCACATCCAGAATGTCCAGTGAGGCACGCTATTGGCTCGTGGTTATTTACTAAGTCGTTTTTACATGTGTAGTCGTTGACTTTCGTTTCACAGTAGTAGCACTGGTGATAATCTAGAATACAGGAGGAACGATTGAAATGACATACTATTTGCCAGATTCGTCACGAGATTTCAAAATAATAACGCGAGATCTCGAGATCTCGTGGTAACAAGTTTTGTAGAACGCGCGCGTAGGATGAAAACATTACATACTGACGTCACTATGTCAAAGGGTTTTTTTTCTTTACTCAACAACTCTCGGTGCATTACCGTAGGGCGCCACTGTGCCCGAATATATGAGCCACATACCTTGAAGGTTGTTTTTAAATGAATGGTAAATCTGTGAGCACTTTGTTTGATATTCATTTGCCATACCCAATTTTATTTCCACTTACCCGAGTCATCGGCATTACAGCTGTCCTCGTAATCACATGTACATACATAGGCGCTCTCCGAGGAATCTACGTCATCGTACTCGTCACATTGGTTAGCAGACCACGTGCTGTTCTGTTCCAAAGACGCACAGCCTCGTTCCACCTTCAAATCATACTGACCAACTAACGTATATAAAAAACAAACAATGAAAATAAAGTTGGACGAAAACAGAAGGACTTGCCAACCATAACACTGGCAGGGTTAAGGAATTTACGTTGGCGTGATAATAATACTAATTGAACAGCATATTTGGGGAAAAAAACACTCTTTATTGGAAACATATTAACGCGGAAGGGTCGTCACCTGCACATGCGCGGGAATTGAGCCCAAGCGACGATAACAACGCATGCTAAAAACGCACAAAGGCTCATGGGTAGAGGCTTGATCGTAAACAATGACACTCTATAACCATCTGACGCACGCGCAGGTGACGATTCCCCCGCTTTAAACTCAATAATTTAATAATTTTTCTGTCACCAGCTTGGTGTCAAATTTTGCACGTTTTCTGTATGTGGAGAGAGGTAATGTTGTAGCCAATAGATGGAATTGTTCGATACCTATAATTCTTGATCCAAATATTGCAATTGATGGCTTTGACGGTCAAGGAATTCAAAGTTAAATTTGAAAGTAACTGTGAGTGCAGTGCGCCACCTACGGCGGAACGAGGAGAAAACCACGCTGATTATCCTACTTATACAGGTCTTCACTGTAGTATGCCCACGTATAGCACGTTGTAGAACAAGTGGCCGTCTCCATGGACCCCGGGTTAGTGACACAGTCGTAGTCTGAAAAAATACTAGCCCAAGACTCGTCGTATTCACATTTTATACATTCAAAATCGCCACTAGTACCATGAATCAGACATCCTGTAAAAGAGGAATAGCCAAGTTAATTGCAGGTTTATTCGATTGTCAACGCACTGACATCCCCACCGGTACATTGTCTTTGGGTGGGAGTGCTCCTCGGCCAGTTGAAAACTGGACTCAAGTAGATCGACGTTGAGGCCGCTTCGGTCAAAAAAAAATTGACCCCCCCCCCCACACACACACACAAACATACAAGTAGCACACACACGCAACCTCGTGTATCCCGGGGGGAAGTTGCATGACACGATTGGTTGAAATAATTGTCTCATTTGCATAAATTAATATTCATGTGCAATGAAAAACTCGTCTTTTCAGTAAAATTGTGCCAAAATGCTTTCCGATAGCACATACATGTTAATTCTAAATTGACTGATTCGTTACGAGCCGAAAAAATAATCGGGAAAATGATGTAAAAGTATTTTTTGAGACACGTTTTCGATCAGACTCCAGCTAACTGTTGAAAGTAAGCACAGGTTTTCTCTTTACCATGATCATAGCAAGTTATGAAATTCATGGCGAATGCAGAAGCACATTTATATTTCACTCTAGCGGCAAAGTACGGCAAAGTAGTGGCAAAGTACTGCCAAGTAGTGGCAAAGAACTGAAAAGTACGGCAAAGTAGAGGCAAAGTACGGCAAAGTAGTGGCAAAGTACGGCAAAGTAGTGGCAAAGTACTGAAGAGTAGTGGCAAAGTACGGCAAGGTAGTGGCAAAGTACGGCAAAGTAGTGGCAAAGTACGGCAAAGTAGTGGCAATGTACTGCAAAGTAGTGGCAAAGTGGTGCAATCTAGCGGAAAAGTTTAGAAATATAGTATCAAAGTCCGGCAAAGTAGTGGCAAAGTATTGAAAAGTAGTGGCAAAGTACACAAAGTAGTTGCAAAGTGTGGCAAAGTACTGCAATGTAGTGGCATAGTACGGCAAAGTCGGGGCAAAGTAGGCCAAAGTATTGGCAAAGTAAAGAAAAGTATAGGCAAAGTCATTCAACGTACGGCAAAGTAGTGGCAAAGTACAGCAAAGTATAGGCAAAGTACGGCAAAGTAGCCCAAAGTACTACAAACTAGTGGCAAAGTAGTGGCAAAGTAGTGGCAAAGTACGGCAAAGTAGAGGCAAAGTACTGAAAAGTTGCTCAAAATGTTTTCGGTAACTTTTATCAGTGACAAGTTGCCTATGTATGCATTTCGAGAAACCACATTGTGTGCATGCGTAGTCTGAAATGGAACAGTTTTGAACGCAATAAAATCACGCGTAGAATTCGGGCTCAAGCTAGAAATTGTGGCGTCAAACTGGTTGTCGGTTGAATTGTTTTGCAATAGACATAATTTTGGAGCCTGTCTATTTTGTCTATGAAATGTTTCTAAGTTTTGTTGAGGATTATTCTGTCAAGAGATTACTGAAATTATTTCATCTTTTCGTAAACGGGACGTTGTTGCTTAGACGATGGGCTACGGCGACTGACGTCGATACATTCCATTCAGATCGGATGGCGCCCTCTCGTGCCGCCAACCCCCCCCCACCGGTGAATCCTTTATAAAGGACAAATTGCAAAAGAGGGCGTACTTTAATATGCACTCACTGAGCAGATTCTGTCATGGCTCAGATGACGCACTCATACATAGGCTGCTTTCTGCTACTGTAAAACCATTTATTTTCACTGACATTTAATATTTTGATTTCCGAGTCTTTTCACGTGGCTTTACGAATTTTGCTGAGAAACAATGAGATCTGTTGTTGTTGTTTTTAATGCTCACGTGAATTTAATCAAGCGAATTTTACTTATCAGCGAAATTAAAACACAGTGAATAATTAATACATTTACAGTATTATTATTAGTATAATCTTTTTTTCAAGTAAAAGCCGACTTCAAATTTTACCACAGGTACTTGAATGAACATTTATTTCTGTAAATTGTTTTTGCACTTATACCTGACAAAAGCTCTATATACATAATAATACACACTACTGAGCATGTTAGTGCGCACATGTGCAATGCATTCTGGGAGACAATCTCCCATGGAGACAGTGAAACACAACAAATTAAATAATTATATGACTTTTTAGAATAACTCACCTAATGAGAACAATGTGACCATAGATATTACGTCGAAGAATGCCATTGTGTTACTCTGAATCGACCTAATCAAAAATAAACATTGTTGTAAATTAACTACTACGAAATTAAGCACATATCCTCGGGGCGGACATCCGGGCATTTTCACCGCCTGGCAACCATCGCGGTGAAAACAAAGGCCAACAATTCGCAGAACACGCTACTTTGGGATGGTTGTTGAGACTCCCCTGAACAGTGTAACAAGATTAGCCCTACTTGTGTAACATATATGAATTCTGATGTTCAGGATAAATTCAAAGTTGAGTTTCTGTTGTTTTCTCGAATTTTCACCGGCTCGACAGGCGTTCCACGCAGCGCGCACAGAGCCCAAAGAAATGCATGGCACAGTCTTTGCGTTTTTAGCAGGTGCTGTTATTGTCGCTTGGGACTCAATTTCCGCGCGTCGCAGGTGACCACCCTCCCGCTTTAATCATTTTATTGAAACCTTATTATATTAGGGAATAATTAAGACTGATTGGTCACGTATAGCACTCAAAGTTTGATGAAACTTAATCAGTATTGGCACCCATCTTTGGTGTTTTGGTTATATCTGATTTGTTGGATAGTTGAATATTCATGACGAAAGTATATTTCCTCAAAGTGTGACGAAACTTAGAAAAATCATAGGTGTATATATCCGATTTATTCGATAGATTCAGCCTCATGCATATTCATGTGGCATGCGATTAGAATATTCATGATGCCAAAAAAACGAGGGTGTCGACCTCGCCGCCCCCCAACAAAAAAAACATCGCCTTTTCTTGTTTGTATTTGGTCCTGACAACGTTTTGTGTCTTGACGTCTCTTTGTATTTGGGACAGCGCGCGACTTCGCTTAGATACGGACCACCTATGAGAGAACGTGGTTCGCCTTTTCTTGTTTGTAATTGGTTCTCACAAAGTTTTGTGTCTTGACGTCTCTCTGTATTTGGGACAGCGCGCGACTACGCTTAGATACGGAACACCTTTGAGGGAACGTGGTTCAGAAATACTCTAAGACAGTCTGACAATGAAGACCCAGTATGTCCTGGCAGACATGAGTTTAATAC